TTTTAGACACACATCTCACATAATTTTAAACTTGTTGAATTTACTTTCTACACACTCCTATTATTCCAAAATTAGTCTAACTATTTTTATAAGATTATTAATTCTCGATCATTTTTCTTTTCACACCCACTATTTTATTTTTTATTTTTTATTTTAATATTATCATTTCCATATTCTCTATTTTTTTTAGTTGAAGCTTTAGCCATGACTTTAAGAAAATTTATTAAAATATATTTTTTAGAAAACATAAAGGACACTCAAAAATACAAAATAGAAAACAATATAATTCAAGAAAAAATAATAAAAAATACAATAACAAATTTATTATATTATTGAGGTATGATTGAAAATACAAAATGAAAAAATGAAAAACAAATAAATGAGCATAATAAGCATAAAAAGAACAAAATGGAAAAAAAAAATCAATTATACTTTATAAGAAACGAAAAAGAAAATAAAAAAAATAATTTGTCCTTCAAACATAAATAATTAGAAAAATAAAAAATATTAACACAAGACGAAGGAAAAACAAGGCAAAAGAACAATCACCATAGAATAAATAGCAAGAAAATTTAACATACTTCTATGCAATTTTTTGGAATAACTATTGAATGGAAAAAATTTAGGTTTTATCATAGATTTCAAAATATCAATTGTTGGTAATTTGAAAATATGACATGTGGGGTGTGTGAAAGAAAACAAAATATCATTAATTTTTATAATAAGATTTAAATATGTAATTAAATCTATTATAATAGTATTTTTTGTCATTTTACATGAGAGTCTTTTCTAATAAGAAATTATAATTAAAAGGGGGTGTGGAGAGTAAAAAAAGGTGTGTGAATAAAACCACCTTATGTTTTATTAAGTGACAATATTTTCAAGTTAAAAACATATCTTAAATAGAGTATCTAAACATGGTTATTTTGTGTAATTAGTTCTCATTTAAATATGTCACTTGAGAATCTTGAACTACCATTTGAATTGAATTTTTAGATTGAAATGGTTGAAACAAACATGGACTTAGTTTGAATAATCTCAGTTTAAATCACCACAATTCAAATTGTTGAACCAAACGTTTAAAGTTGTCAAAAAAATTGGTGTTTCATTATAAAAGTAGCAATATTTAAAGTTTGGCGTCTTATTTTGTGTCATTCAAACTATAAGGGGTAAAATGAGGTTTCCCCTATTCTTTGGGACCTAACTTTATGATTAACCATTTTACGAAGGATAATGAGAATTTTGATTTTAAATGATACCGAGAAAACTTTTGAAAAACATGTAAGATATATATTAAAATGATAAAAGAGAAATCAGATAAATATTTTTTTAATGTGTATAAATTTAAATTTTTATCCTTTATTTTTTATTAATATATTTTTTTAATAAAATAATTATATTAGTTAATAAGATATTAATTAAAAATAAGAAGTAAGAATTCAAATATACAAAATCCAAGAGCTTTCTTTTCCCACTGGTATCTTGATCAGTTACTTTTTTCCTCCTGACGTAGATCATAATAACCACGCTGGTTATTCCCAAACAAGAGCAGACGATCATTATGGGGATCCTGACGTGTAGTTTTGCTAAGGAACGCTTCCAAATTTGTATTAGAATGCCCGTGTTATATTATACAGGCTCACCCAAAAGATAACAGCACTAAATAGAGCCAAAACCATAGACATGATATATCCTGCTAATATATCATCCTGGTCCAACCAAAGGAAAAGAACTAAACAATATATAAAGAGATTAACTATCATTTATTGGTTGGATCGACAAATACCACTACCTTCTTTGTAATCTATATCTAATATATATATATATATATTAGGTGTGGTTTTAAATGGTTACTTCAATATTTATTCATCGATGGATATTATTATTTTAGTCATAATATATTGATCTTATGATTATAATAAATTGAGTAGTTGATTAAAAAAATTTATTATAATTAATGAAATTATATTTTTATCACGATATGTCATTAAATTATTATATTTAATAAGTGATTATCGATAGAGACGTAACTATTAAAAACTTATCCATATATATTGCTAAGAAAAAGACAATAAACACAACAGTTTGTTATCGCAAATAGCAACAACATGAAAAGCAGAAGAGGTGAAAATTTCATACCTTTCTTTTATCTTGAATAATGTATATATTTATTAAGTTGCTACAGAGTACCCTACTTTTTTTCTTTTTAATCTATAAGTACTAGTTATTTTTATTTGACTAAATATGTATTATATATAGAGCTTTAATTAACTTCTGAACACAAAATTTTCATTCGTATATCGAGTAAATTGCACCATTGATCATGTCAACCAAAGTCAATTTTACTTTAATACAATTAACGTTATTATGATGTGAACTAATTCTTATTGTATTGAAACTTATTTTGGTTTAATATTAATTACGTTAACATTTAAATCTTTTGGAAAAATATGTACAGCAATCAAGGATCACATTAAAAATAATCTCAACTTTTTTTAAGCAAAAGAAAGAAAAATATAGAACTCATCCCTAAGCTCAAGAGTACATCCACAAAGAGGGAATCATTAGCGTTTGTTGCATGGCAAGTTTGGTTGATGGATTCGTGCCATGATTCGAATCATGGTTCGTGATTTATTATAGTATTTTTTCTCATAAAAAACACACGTAAATCAAAAATAGTTCTGAATCATGATTCTGAATCCATGAACCAAACGTCCACACTGTTTCTGCATGTCATCGTCGATTTTTGATTTCTCCTAGATTAGTAATTTCCTCCTGCCATTAATTAGCACAATCTCCGTACTCACTAGAACACCATAAGCGAACAAAAATATCATAAAGATGGAAAATAAAGCACAGACACATCTGAGGTTGCTATTGCTACATCATTAGTGTTGAAGACATTAGCAATAACGCTTGCTTGATAAGAAACAATACCCCAACAAATAAAAACAAGCATTAGAGCTAAAATAACTAAACCAAT